GAGGCATGGAACATATGTACCAAATATGCCAAAGATGTCTACAAAATTATCTCAGTTATTATTAAAAAACTGATTATTTTTGAAAACTTTGCCACCCTGTATCTCAAAAGTTGAGGCGTTTAGGACATACGTCCATAGGAAGTTTTTTTCTTAAAATGGGTCTAAGAATTACCTCCTCAAATATTAGCATGTGTTCAAGGAACACCCTGTATATTTTCAAAGGTGACTGTTTTTGTATGAAACTAGAGAAGCAGAAAGTCAAAAACTTTTCTTTTCCGATCGTATTCATTCTTTTGTTCTCTAGTTTTGTTCCAAAATTTTCACTAGAATGGGTAGTTTCAATTCTCAGCCTGGACGATAAGATATTTAATTAATTTTTGTAATTAGTAGGCAAGTCCTTCCTAGTGACTCATTTGATGGAGTAATTTCAGTACAGATAATATCTACTTGGCTTACAAATCAATATCTAACAATATCCACCCATTTATCTTTTTTGAACAGAGTTCTTTGGCGAATACAATTCTTCTTGAAAGTAGACAAAGAATTCTACGAAATCGTTGAGAAAAATATTTTGGAAAAGTGCTCAGACACAACTATAAAAAGTTTGATGGAATCAATCTAAGAGTGAAGAAGATATTCATCAAAATATACAGGGTATTCCATATTCGATGGTCTATTAGAAGTATCTAGAGAACAAAAAAAGATGAGTATTTCAAATTTTGGTTACCGATGTAGATGGCTGTGATCTATCATTTGAAAATATTTTCATCTCCGCATTGTTGCCACATCTACATGTAACAAACATCAACTTGTAAATTTCAAATGGAACACCCTATATATTATATCATTTTTGAATTCTGCATCGAATTCCAAATAAGTTTTGTGTACCATGTCATATACCTATCTCTCACCGTTTTTAAAATATTAATTATTTTGTAATTTTTTTTTGGCAAACCATGGTAAATTTATTATTTAATATCGCATGAATTAACTGATAGACTAAACTCAAATTCTGGCAACATTGAGATAAGTTATGGTGGTTTTTATTTCAGAACAAAACTCAAATCTTATTTTATACAGAGTGTCTGAAAAATACGTCTGAATTTGTATCTTTGATAAACGACCATAACTAATTATTTTCAAATGGAACACCCTGTATATTATTCAATTTTCGAATTCAACCAACCAATTTGAACACTTTGATCAGCTATGTCCTATACCTATATCTAACCCTTTATGAGATATGACTTATTTAAAAAAAAATTGCTCCTATGCAAGTATGCAAGCATATAATTTCCAATAAAATCAAAAATCAAGTGCATCAAATGACAAAAAATCAAAGCTAGATTTTTTGTAGGTTAGATTTTCTGGTGGTTACATTTGATACTGAATTATCCCTACTTAATGCTTGCCATTCACTTAAAAACTTCGATAGATCGACGTCATTGCATGATCAGTCAGTCTTGTCACAGCACATTTCCATCGGATCGCTTATTTTGAAGACACCCTAGTTTCTAGTATTTTTTTATGTAATCCCAGGTATTCTGAACACCGGGCAGCGACCGAATACCAAGTCTCCAAAAGTCGTACCCCTCGATTCTCGGGGGGTACGACTCACGTCATCAAACTATTGTTCAGGCATTCCCTTACAGTCGTTTTCAGAACATCCACATAATTTTTGACACTTCAAATTTGTGATTCAGAGGGAAGCAGAAACAAAATGGATAACTGTCATACAATTTAATGATTCTGACACAGGTGTTTTATTTAGTAAATTGTAAAAACATGTTTCACAAGTATTTCATGACTATAAAAGAGGGGGACCCGTGCGCAAAATTCACCTCGTATTCATGTGCCAAAATAGTATCCGCACGATAATACTCATAAGTATTGCCTTTTGTCTAATACTGTTCTCGTGTTTGTAAAGATGATTGGCCTTTCAATTCAATGAGAGCTCGATATTGTTTATCGGAAAGCTTTTGAGTTGTAAACAGATTTTTAACTTCAGTAAGGAACATAACCTCAAATTGAAAGTTGGTTCATCTGTAAATATCCAATAAGGCATTCCAGATACTTGTCAAATGACGAAATTAAGCTGGCTATATGACAAAATGAACCAATACGACGGCATCTGCCCTCCAGAAACATTGCTTTTTTTTCTCAAAAGTGTGATTTCCATAGTAAAACTGGTGTTTGCCACCCAGACATCACGTGATCTGGAATTCCTAATAATATGCATACGTTCTCAATAACATACATATAATACACACATTCTAAAAATTTCAGGTTTGCAATAGGACGTAGGTCTCGGGCCTTCGGAAATTTACTCCTTCAGATTAAAAATTATGACAAAATGAGATTGTTTTTGCAAGAAATACTTTTTGAATATTATCAAATCAAAGAAAAATTCAATACACGGTGATTTTTTTTCTATTTCTAATCAACTACTCGAATATCAAAAGAGTTTTAAAAATTAATTTTGAATTTTGCAACTGAATTTCGGCAAGGATAATGGTGTGTCATGATCCAAGTCTGATTTGAAAAACAAAAGAATGGATTTGTCAATAACTTGTTCAAATAGTCCGACTGTCATATTGAAGTAGTGAAGATAGATAATAATAGTTATTCGAACTCTGAAATCCTAAATTTGTTTTATATTCATGGAGAGTGCGCTAAAATCATATCAAGGACCTGTAAAAGATTTAATGAGTTATATCCTAACTTACCGGCAATGAATGAAAGAAAATTCAGAAGACTTGAACGAAATTACCTCAACTATGGAAAAGTTCGTGCCTCAAAAAATCGAGTGAGTCCGGTGACTGGTGATATGGAAAATGAAATAAACATTTTAGGATATTTTTATGCTTATCCTCATGCATCAGTGTCTAGTGCTGCGGTTGATTTAGGAATCTCTCGAATTTCTATATGGAGACTTTTACAAAAACATAATATGCACGATTATAAATTCATTAGGCTGCAAGCTTTGCATAGAGATGATCCACCAAAACGGGTAGAATTTTGCGAAATGGCACTGACATGGACATAAGAAGATCCAAACTTTTTCAAAAAAATTATATTGACTGATGAATCACAATTTTCACGCGAGGGAATATTTAATCGTCGAAATAATCACTTCTGGGCATCAGAAAATCCTCATTTCATCAGACAAAGGGGATTCCAACAAAAATTCAGTTTTAATGTTTTTTGTATGCTCATGGATGATAAAGTTTCTATTTGCATTTATGAAGAAAAGTTGAATTCCGAAAAATATTTAGATATTCTGAGATCGACTGTGAGTGATTTTTTGGACAATTTGCCGCTGAACTTGTCTCGGAATTGTTGGTATCAGTTGGATGGAGCTCCTGGACATTGCACAAGTGAAGTGAGTAGTGAACTAACCGATATGTTCGAAGATCGGTGGATACGACGTTTGGGTCCTTGGATTTGGCCGCCTCGATCACCGGATCTGACTCCCCTAGATTTTCACCTCTGGGGAAAAATCAAAGAAAAGGTATATAGAACACCTATCCATACGAAACAGGAACTGAAAGATCGGGTTAGACGGGCCTTCGAGGAAATCGACCCGTCGGAAATCCGCAGAGCCACGACTGATCACGTTTTAACATCGATCCATCAATGTTTACAAGTGAATGGCCAGCATTTCAAGCACCTGAGCTACTGAATTTTTGTCATGTCAGTATCAAATATCAAATAATTGCGAAGCTAGTTTCACAATACCATCTCTTGTTTTTTAGAATTATTTTGGTTGTCAATTTAATTGGCTGTCAATTTAATTTTGAACAGTGTTCGTTCTGTCGAAATAGTAATGTTTGTCTTACACCCACTATGAAGGTCCATTGATGTATTCCATTAAACCTTTCTGAACTAATATGAAGTTATTATTTATCATTCGATGTGTTCAATAATACATTTTTACCGAATTTTGTATTTGAAATGTTATATTTGTAAAGACGCAAAAAAATTATAAAATAATTCATATCTCATAAAGGGTTATGACGTCGATCTATCGAAGTTTTTAGGTGAATGGCAAGCATTAGGGAGGGATAATTCAGTATCAAATGTAACCACCAGAAAATCAAACCTCCAAAAAAATCTAGCTTTGATTGTTTGTCATTTGATGCACTTGATTTTTAATTTTATTGGAAATTATATGCTTGCATACTTGCATAGGAGCAATTTTTTTTAAATAATTCATATCTCATAAAGGGTTAGAGATAGGTATAGGACATAGTTGATCAAAGTTGTTCACATTGGTTGGTTGAATTCGAAAATTGAATAATATATAGGATGTTCCATTTGAAAATAATTAGTTATGGTCGTTTATCAAAGATACAAATTGAGACGTATTTTTCAGACACTCTGTATAAAATAAGATTTGATTTTTGTTCTGAAATAAAAACCACCATAACTTATCTCAATGTTGCCAGAATTTGAGTTCGGTCTATCAGTTAATTCATGCGATATTAAATAATAAAATAACCATGGTTTGGCCAAAAAAAAGTACAAAATAATTAATATTTTAAAAACGGTGAGAGATAGGTATAGAACATGGTTCACAAAACTTATTTGGAATTCGATGCAGAATTAAAAAATGATACAATATATAGGGTGTTCTATTTGAAATTTCCAAGTTGATGTTTGTTACATGTAGATGTGGCAACAATGCGGAGATGAAAATATTTTCAAACGATAGATCACAGCCATCTACATCTGTAACCAGAATTTGAAACTCTCATCTTTTTTTGTTTTCTAGATACTTCTAATAGACCATCGGATATGGAATACCCTGTATATTCTGATAACGAGCTGACTAGATAGTTGCTGTCTTGATATATGAGTTATACTTTTTGAACCTTATCTTCTATTTCTGTCTGACTAGGCGATTTTTTGACGAATCCTTTCCTTCCGCGCCTCGAGGACCATTCGATAGATCCTCATCTGCCAATCCACTGAACTGAACGTGCATAATATCGAGACATATCGTCTTGTTGCACCCAAATTATGTGATCTGGTACAGCTGGATCTTCTAGCCCAGGAAAGAATACCTCTATAATAGAAAATATTTTTTTCTAAAGCTACTTGACACTAACTGGCATTCGAACCCAATTATTTGAGAATCCACTATACCAATCCTCACATCAATAAGATTGTGGAGTGTATGCGCTTGCATTATCCGATGTGGATTTCGAATTGCCCAGTATCGATAATTTCGGTACCGTTCGAGAACAATATTGCCTCATTCAAAAAATATATTTCTAATCAAACGAGAATTTACATTGGCAAATTTCCTTGTTGTTTGTACTCATCGATCAAACTTACCATAGGTCGGTTCTTTAGATCAAAACAAAGACCGTTAGAACAAAGCAGGGTTGTGAGGTATCAGAGCGAGATGAATAATAGTGGTGTTCTGAAAACACAATTTTTTTCCTAATTACCTGAAAAGTCACAGAGGAAAGAATTATTTTTCTGCTGGTGGAGGTGAATGTCACTTTGTTATTATTTTCCTTTGAAAAACGTTGTTTTGTGAAACCCCTCTTGATGAGAAGTTATTCCTTTTTTAGGATATGCCTAAACATTTTTAAACGCTACTGTTGATGCATTATAGTGTCTCAGAAAAAACATGTGTATTGTAGCTACTTTACTTGATACGCTTTCTGGTCATGAGATTTAATTTCATGAATTCTGTAGACAAGTCTTGTACTAAGTACACTCCATACGAGTAAAAGGTATTCTCATGAGGTCTTGGAAATGTATTTTTAAATATTCTTACATCATGAGGAGGATTGGATGCAGGTTTCTCTGCGCCGTTGAGAAAATATTAGATTTCAGTTATTTCCAGAACCAATTTTCGATTTTGTAAAGTATTATTTTTTTCATTTTTTTTAATAAAGGAAAACTGATATGTTTTAAATGAATTGAAATTTTTTCTATACATTCTGGTACAAAACTTCCCTGTTCAAGAATTTATTTTCACAAACTATTTGTATTCAGTATGAAAGATCGATCAATTAATTATGAGAAGAGGTACTTTGAATATGAATTTTTCCAAGTTCGGGTTATTGTAACTCAATATTGGAAGAGGTACCTATACATGCTCAAATGACAATTTTGAAAATAAAAATCGACTTCTGCAAGGATTTGTTCTGAAATATTTGTATCAATGACTGTTAAATTCATTCGTTAGTTTTTAATGATACGATAGAAAAAAATGCACACTATCAGTTCGAGAAAATTTATATTTTCATGACTTTGTTTCACCCATTCTATGAAGTCAATATTATCTTCATACATTTGTGACAAATCTAGTGATATTCCCTGTGTTATCTGAAAAGTTTGCATGCAATTCGAAAAAAAAGTGGTGTAGTATATCTATTTTGACAACGTTAATTGAATTAATTTCATACCATAATACTAAATCACGTATGGAACTTTTTTCAGTGCGACACGAAATGTGAGAAGAAGGGGTTGAAATTCAGAATCATACAGTGTGTTTGGTACGGAACCAAGAAAGCTGCAGGGACGGCTTGTAAAGATATGCCTAGGCCTCCAGTAACGAAGGATTGTATAGGACCACCTTGTACGTCGATAGGTATGATAGTGACGAATGATTAGTTTACGGTTGCCATCGACAGCCATCTTGGTTTCTTCCAGGGTGGATATTTAAATGATAATCTTTTCCAGAAACGGTATGCAAGGACCACTCGATGTTTTGCCCAAATGTGAAAGCCATGAACATGTGTAGAATAACTAGATACCAGCAGCAGTGTTGCCAGACTTGTCAGGATTGAAGAAGTTATTTGTGAATAAGAAGAAAACGGCAACAGTTGTGAATCCAGGTGACTGGAAAGTGTGTCAATGTCAAATAATTCGTGTTTCCCGAATTCTCCACTATTCTGTTCGAAGAAGCAAAGCACATGGCAGTAGTTATTTAATTGCAATCGGGTCTTACAGGATCTGTGTGTTATAAAAATCACTTTCATTTCAGAAAAACTATCGAAATCTAAAATATTTGTCGCAGACAGAAATCCAAAAGCAAATAATTCAATAAGCATTCTGATTCTGAAGCTCTGTTTTGAGAAAATTTGCGTGTTGATTCTATTTGTTTGACAGTTGTGACAGCAAGAACCAATAACTTCTTCAGGCAAGAATGTTTGGTGTTTTCGTTTTTTCCTTCATGATGATTAGGCAATAATCTCAGACTTTGATTGAAACTCAAAACAAGTTGACCCAAACTCTGATATCAGAATATTCCATTTACGAAAAAAAAATAAACTGAAAAGGGGTTGATGAGGTTTATTTAGGTAAATAACTTTCAAAAAAGATCGGTCGTGAAATATTTCGTCATAGTGGTTAGCCAATCAGATCAAGATATTTCATGATAGTCGCAACGGTGTTTATAATTTATATCTATGATTATGATTGAATGATTTCCACCTTTTTTTCCATTCTAGATTCATTCCACCACTATAGCACCATTAGTAAGTAGTAATAGTACAATATGTTCCTCCTTCCATCCGTTTCGGTGGATATGAGAAAAAATCCTCAAATCGTACATACATTTTGAGATAAATTCATTTATTCATTTATTTGTATTCAAACAGATCGAAGGTCTAACTACATGGATAATGTGTAATAAAATCGATAATGATAATATGTACGTAAACTAGCTCATGAATAGAAAATCATATTCATGAACAGATGAAAATACTTAATATAATAAATATGTATACCGTATCAAACAGATGTATTCAAGAAATAATCTGATATTGATCCACGAAATACTCCGTCAGGTAGAGTCCAATCTAAATCTACAAGCAAACTACATGTATTGGCCAGTTGTAGCATAGTCACGAGAGGGAATATGTTTGTTGTAACCACCAATATATTGGTACTGATTGATTTATTGTTAACAAACCTTTGCTGTTCTTCCGTGATATATATTTTTGTGTAGTGAAATATTAGTGTATAAATAATTTGCTCAATTAACTTGGCCGGAGCACACATTATGGAGATTAGCCGATAATTTTCAGTCATATTTTTTGCCACTCTCATAAATAATAATAATAATAATAATAATATTTCCCTAATGTCGCAAAAATTGTTAACTATATCAGCATCATTTATGGAATATCCACAGGTCCATAAATTCTAGAGAAACGAACATGTTTTACGTTCACGAAGAAATAAGTATGTCAAATAGTAAGTTTTTCTAAAACTCTTTTCTTTTTTTTGAACTCTTGCGTTTCTGTATCAAATATTTGTTTAGTGTTTCTGTATTGCTAGCCTAATTTTCACAAGATCTAACAATTTTCAGTGGTATTGGTATCATATGAAGTGAAAAAAAATATTGATCAGCAGAATCCATACTTATGAACTATTGAATGCTGACTAATGGATGTTAAGAGATTTTCCTCAACTAGCATAATTTGGGTCAGTAAATGACGACCGATACTCAATAACTGGATACAGATCATGGAATTCATTTGCCCAGAAAGAGTTTCCAATGTACTCAAACTTATTAGATCTTGAATCATTTATATCACATCTGGAAACTACATCAGTAAATTGATTCAGTTTGTGCTGTTCTGTTAGTCCGAAGATGCTCAACTGTTTTCCAATCAATGGAAATTGAATAAGAAGAAAATTTCAATGATTCGACTCGATAACTCGTATCTCTGAATTGATATGTCATGTCGAACAATAGACACTTTTTATGTAACCAATAAAAATGATAATCTGTTTACCTCTTACGGCTTTTTCAATACCTTCCATAGTCTTCTATACAATCCTATCGTGGGGATACTCACCACATACTACTGACGTATTTTGTGCACAAGGGAAGCCGTAAGAGTTATTTCAAACCTAAATTATAAACACGACAGTCAGGAAAATTCAAACAAATGAAAATACTCACTGATCCCTACATTTAAATCCTACATTGTCTTTTATATGCGGAAATAAATGAGCAAAATACATTATTATCCTACGAGAGGTTCAAAAAATAAATGTATAAACCACCATGAAGTCCAACTGGTATAAACTACTTTGGTCCAAAATACTTCAACGTTCTTCCACTATCCATAAGACAATTAGAATACAATCAGAGTCCATGATTTCTTAATAACAAATGCATTTTTTTCATTCTCAAATTCTAACTGCAGTTAACACCACCAGTAACAAAGCGCACAACCTCGAGAGACTCTATTCTGTGATGTATATCAATTTGTGTTGTATTCATCTGTACATCTGTATATCCGTATTTCTGTATATCCTTCATTTGTATTACCACCAAGTGTAGAAGCATCCATAAAGATTTGTCATTATCAAGTAAAAATCGTTATTCATGATATAGTAATGATGTCACAAAAATTATAGATTTACTAAAATTTTTCAGAATCTGACATTTCTCTGATGAGTCTAATACTATGAGAATATTGAAAAACCGAAAGAATTTCATCTAAGATGTTTTCTCTAACGCTTTACTATTGCATACGTTTTTCAATTCGTCAACAAATCTCCATGAATCATAGATTTGGATCTTTTTAAAGTTTTGAAAATCATTTATACGATCACACTTCAAAAATAAAAGCACAGGAAATAATACTATTGAACGAATAATTCTAAATGGCACGCATTTTATCTGATTTGATAAAAATTATGTCAGATGTCTGTGATGATCAGGATCTTCAGTGAGTATTTAGGAAGGATCAGAAATGTTTGGCTATCAGATCATATGGATCCAAAATATTGAAGTAAGAGAAGACTGACTTTTTACTGACAACTTATAAGTTCTCAAATATCATCAAAAATAATACATTTTTCCATAATCTAATGTAACCAAACTAATGATGTATCACGAAGATTTATTATACAGATCCTTACTTGATTGAAATAATATTTCATCATTTCTTTTCCGTATATCTACAGTGAGTTAATTCAAACTCAAATCTTTTCATATGCTATTCTCGTTTTTTACTTGTTGGTTGCGATTCTGTGAAAACGTGTTAACTACAAATATATTTTTTCCCAATTGCACTTCACATGCTTGAATTTTTTTTAAACTATTTATGTTTGAGAATTACTGTACTTTGATGAAATATATAGATACGGGTTTTTTGTATGTGCCGAAATACAGATTCAAATGTTTTTTTCTCAAGCGCAAACTGAAATTATTTTCTAAAATGAATGACTTAATGATATTCCGACCTATTCGAAATATTCAAACTGGGATTTACACCTGAATATTATTTGCAAGTGTTTTACATGTTGCACTGACATCTCTTAATTGAAAGTCTAAGAATGAATGTGAATAAAAAAGTAATAATGGAGTCATATCTATATTAATTTTGACTCTAATCAAATTGAATATCCTGCAGTTTATTCTTTGGTAGTCTATATACACAGGTTTATTGAAATAACTTTCAGTTTCTGAATTGATATTCTGATTCATGTTGGAATTAATATATTTTCCAAGAATTCTTTAATAAATCCATGGCATTGTAAAATATTCCTCTACCGCTCGCAAGATGGCGAATCAATGCTTATTCTTCAAAGTGTCAATTTAAAAGTTATTTTGGATTAAAATCTAAATTGCGACAGTTTTTCTGAAATGAAAGTGATATATTTGAAGACTGAATTTTAGTTCATTTAGTTTTGTACATTGAATATTTAATTTACTAGTTTTAAGTATCCATGACGTTTCAAATAAAATGTCAACACTGAAAATAAAAAGCATACATAAATGAAATACATTGCATTCACGCCAAATTGAAAACATTTCTGAAGCTTTTCATTATATGGGATAGTGTTATGAAACAAAGAAAGCTAGACAAGCATTATTCTCACAAAATTTCAAATGATACACGTGTTCTTGATATCTTATGAATAATAACGTGAATATTCGTTCAAACTATTTTTTTTTGTTATTTCGAAAAAAATATAGCTAGAAAAATATTCTAAGTGATTTCTCCCACTAATTCAAAAAGTAAGGTAACGCCACCACATATCTTTCACCATGAGTGTTGAAGTTGTTTTACGAGGCAACTGACTGCGAAATGATCCTTATTTGCTTAGAAAAAAAACAGATACACTACTTCAACATTTTTATACAAATGAATAAAAACATGAAACTTTATAGGTAATAATGGACATGGCTGGCAAAAATAATTTCAAATTACACTTACAATAGTCCGAGAAAATCAAGCTCTTTTTAATTGACTTGCCACTGGGTAGTTGTCTGTCAAATTCAAAACAGTACTTTTGATTGAATAAAAATCTTATGATGAAATGAACAAGGCTTGACTCGCTTTCTGCATTTGTATTACTCAAGAAGTCAATATTATTCCGCCTGAATATATTTTCGAGCAAACATGGTCATACAAGCTACTTTGAGAAAATCACTCAGTTTCTGCTGAGTGTTTGCATGTTAGTTTACGAAAGTTTTGAAGTCGTTCAGATAAAATTACTGACCTGATTCATACTCCTCATAAAATGCAGAAAATCACTTTTGTAACATCTGTTTTTGGTAAGCTGAAGATTTTGTTTTGATTGATTTCTGGGTTTTAACCGTGGTCTTCTTTGGTTATAACCTCCAAACGGTTCAATTGCAACTGTGGCAGTCATCTTCAGTGGGATGGTCGAAATACTCTTCTTAATGTGTCAGTTGACACGTCAAGGAGAATACTTCGACCACGTCACTGAAGATGACTGCCGCGGTTGCAGTTGAAACGTTTGGAAATTATAACCAAAGAATACCAGGGCAAAACCTGAAAACCAATTAAAACATTGACGCCAGCCGTGAAAGCCTATATTCCTGAATTAGCTAAAGATTATGTTTAATATTCCTTCACAATTATCTTTCTCTTTCAGAATTGTGAATAATGCTCCTTTCTGACCACTTCTAAACTTCACGTTTATATATTTTTTAGATAATTGCTTGATATTTTGTAAAAAACTGAACATACGAGATACCTATTCAATATGTAAATTGTATATTAGGAATTGATCCACCTGACATAGTATATTGTTGATTTATTGCGTATAGACAAGCCTGATGTTATATATTATGGCAACAATGTAAAAAAGTCGGTGTATATCCAAATTTCATGTCAGCACTGCAGCAACAATGACATTTTGCATTCTGCAGTACTCACATTGCTTTGGTGGTCCTTCAACATTCCAGTATTCTCTAGATTTTTATTACGTTAGGAAATGTTATATAACTATATATAGGAGACGATTGAAGATCCTTTTTAAAGGTTCTAAGAACCGTAGTTTTTAATTTCGAAGTATAATTGTAATTTTGTTGAATTCCTATTGTTTAAATAAAGGCGCCAAGAAACTATCTGTAGCTTCTTTTCAACTGATGTAGAGATTATGTTTGTTGCGAGCATATACTTCAATTTCGAATATTTGGGATGATAACAGAATTCAAAAGTGTTGTAGTCATTGTTCAGTTCGAGATTGTGCTTTCCACATCTGCTTTTTGTTAGTGGTACTAGGCTGGAGTATGAATGGAGCATTTGAAGTCTGTCGTCTTGAGAAGAACAATCCTGAGTGTGAAAAAAACAACAGCAGGAATGAAAAAATTCTAAATAATAACTAATTTCCTGAATAGTATTACGATATTTGTGCAAGTTTCTTCATGGAAAAAAATGTTTGTAGCTGCTTTTCTAAATTATTCGAGCAATCATTCACATACCTTTTTTGAAATGTTATCCGTATTCAATATGGAATCAATGTGAAAATCAATGTGATGGTTTTCATTTTTGAATGTGAAACAAATCTATTCGGTACATCACTGAGTCTGGTACTCGAACAATTCCATTCCTAATATGAAACATCCATCTGAGAATGACGTTATCTAACCATAACAGGTTATGAAAGCCACATTTCTCCAACAAAGCCTAGACAGAGAACAGTTTCTCCATATACCAAAACTGTTTCAGAAATCAAATGAGTTTGACACACAAATCTGTCGTCAATATGTTCGTACATGAATTCTAATCATATTCCATTAAGTTTTGGTTGATTTGCAACACTCTTCTGCTGTTTTCTCTATCAAACATTACCAATTAATATTTCATTTTATCACCTAGATTTCAGAAACTAGTCGGAACCCAAGTTCAAAAAAGAAATTGAAAAATTTTTTTGAGTCTTAATATTTACGAGTTACCGCAGAAATTATTGACACTTTTTTCTTCTTTCTCAATAAATGTTATGATATGATCAATATAATTGATGAAAAATAATTTGCAAGATATTATGTCCAGCATATGCGGTCTCAGCCTATCTACCCATCGACATAACGCGGTCCTACCTACGACACTTTTACGGTATTGACGAGACACCAGTGTTGCCCTACGCTCCGGGAAGCAGTACTTCTGGTGGTGAACCAGAAGTACCAAATTCATTGAAACTGTTCGTTCCTCACCCTCAAACTCATACAAGCTGATGAGCCTGATGTGGTATTTCTCGAACATCAGAGAAAGACGATATTTGTCCAAGGAGTTTTCAGCTCCTCCTAGCGGGACGAATATCGTCTGAAAAAGGAAGAAAAAATGAAATAATATTGAGATTTTCTCTTCGAACTCTACAGACTCTATCCATACCATTCTGTCGAAATGATTGTTCTGATTATTGGTTGTTGATGCTGATGCCTTCTCACGAATATAACGGGGCTTCGGGGCCCGATCAGCGTAATAATTAAATGATAATAATAATTATTCTCGGACCAAAGATCACTTACTTAACGATATGGGAAGTGGGTAATAATGCTGGTGCGCCTTCTCGAATGTGTCGGAGTTTGAGACAGGACGCGACCAGCTTACCCTCCAGTGAAAAAAATGTATTCATTCATTATATCAAAAACACAAAAACAATCATGAGAAGAACTGAAAGATGATGAATAGGCAATGTTCAACAAGAAAAGCTGTTTTTGAACCTAACTTTGAATGACAACTTACATAGGAGGAATTGAAAATTATTCCCAACTGGTGTTTGGGTATTTGAAAAAAAATTGTTTAAACAACCCTCAAACATAATTATAAAAAAGAACACAGCATATTTTACATAAAGTGAGTGGGTATAGTTGGAGACTGGCTGTAAATTTAATTATCTGAAAGAACAATTCGTTCAGGCCAGTCTCAAATTACCTACACTGTTGGTTGATGGATTGACACCTAGCAGAAAACAACTACTCCCCTGGCTAATGCCACGAAAGCGTTGGATCATATTCGACAGGTGTCAGTGCAGGAGTTATAACTGCATATGATGTTAACGATACAACTGCCAAAATCGATTCAGAATTATTGGAACACACTTTCAGACCGGTTTCGAGCTATTAGGCTACTCGTCAGTGCAAGGTTAGTGCAAGGTGTTAGTTCAGATCATTTGATTTACAGCCAGTCTTCAAGTATGCCTACTCACTTCATGTGAAGTTTTCTTCCTTGCACGGGGAATTGGGCAAATTCGGAATATGCGGTTGGTAACCTCGTTCACGGGCAGATGAGCCGATGACGAACATGTTTTTTGTCGTTCTCTTCAGCCTAGTTCGAGAAATGATACTTCATGTTGATGATAGACACTACCTTACGATGACGAGTGGCTGAACAGCCCAAAGCCAGTCTGCAAGTGTGTTCCAATAACCGTTAATCGATTTGGGCAGTGAAGTATCCTGCACTGACACCTGTCGGATATAATCCAACGGCCTCCGTGGTATCAGCCAGAAGAGTAGTTGTTTTCTGATATGTGATAGGTGTCAGTCGATCAACCTACCGTGTAGGTAACTTGAGACTGACCTGAACGAACCGTTCTTTTGAAAATTTCAACACAGCATAATTTAAATAGTATAGGTACAATAAATATAGTTATGGCATTCAATCTTTTAAAAACTTAGTCAGTTCTTTGAATCGGGCAGGCAGCGAGTTGCACAGTTAAGCTAAATTATAGGAGAAACTTCTGGTGAAAAGTACAGTGCTATCCCTGAGAATCATGAAAGTGTTTTGATTACGACTACTTTCGTATTGAAATGAAAAAACCAATTTTTCACGCATATATGAAAGTGTATTAGAATGCAATATTCCATGAGCCAGTGTGAGATGATACATTTCTCTAATTTGTTTTAATTTCATTCAACCGGAATCGCCGGAAGATGAGCTGATGAGGTCGTAATTACGTATGCTATACAATAATGTCATGCATATTTTACGTATTCGCTGTAGATGTCTATTTTTTGTGAGGAGGATGGTCCGTGAATAGAGTCACAGTAGACTAGTCGAGGGGAAATTAGAAAAAACTTCAATTTCTAGTTTTTTGACAACAAATGTCTGCTGGGATGAAGCTGTCTCAAAATATTGAAAAATTTTTGGCATTAATGAATAATATATTCAATAATTATGATCGTTATCGGACTGAAGGCCAAGGTTTTTGTTCTCTTGAACAAATTATATCAACTTGTTATCTCCACAACTTGTGATGCACTGTTTGAAAACTTTGGTGTAGTAATGAGTATTACTGGATTTTTTTTCCAACACCAAACCGTTATTTTAACACCTCCACACGTGTTTCGATAACCAACTGATCATCTTCAAGAGGAAGATCAAACTAATTATACTTACAAAGTATTTATACCATAGATACCTGCGTTTCAAATGTCTCAAATTAATTTCACAATATTGCCTAATCTACTAGGCAATTTACAATGTGTCCTTGTGTGATAGTCAGGTAAATCTAATAATTAAAATATAATTTTCAACAAGTTATATGGTATACTATCACGTATTGATCCACCATCGTTATTCATGATATTCATAATACACTACAAAGCCTTTTAAGAAATCTAAAAGACAAAATCGAAAATTCGGAAAACTCTGGAATTAACGAAATTAAATGTAAGGACTGCGATGCAAAATATTATGGAGAGATAAAAAAGTCTATCAGAATAAGACATGAGGAACAC